TTTCATAAAGGTAGTAAGCTATTTGTACATACAAATTAATAAAAAAATATAAAGTAATACCAGTATTAAGAAATTAGTCCAGCGAATCCGGTAATCGCTTCAATTCTAAGGCAACTCGTTACTTCAGCTGGGTAATGTATACACAATGTTACAAATGAAGGTTTTTATTGACTATTCCACTCGTGAAATTAACACAAATAATGTCTAACTATACATGAAACACGTCCCAACCTGGGCGGTGTATCTCAAAAAATTTTATCGCTTTTTACTTTCCCCGTATATACGGAGCAATACACGTACGTTGTACGGAAAGTTATGTAATGCTGCGGAAAATAGATTTCTAGATTTCGACGGAAATACAAGTTTTGGGGTTCCCAGAAACCGAAAATATGTTTGTGTTGTTTTATTTTTTCCAAAACGTCCGTCCGTCTATCTGGTGTATGTGAACAACACTTGCGTAGGATTTTTTACAAACTGAAGAAACCCCTGCCCATTTGACTAGAGTCGAATCTTTCATATTTTGAAAAATATTCTTTAAAATTTCGGCGTACTTTACATAAAGCCCCCGAACATTTTCAAAATTTTCTCAAAAAAACGACTAAGGCAGTGGTGCCGTAGCGATCTCGGACCGAAGGATCGCGGGTTCGAGTTCCGCCTCGGGCATGGGTGTATTTTGTTCGTCCTTTCACACCCCTATCATATCGTGTCAACCTCATTGTTACCATACCGTTACACGCAATAGTGGTCGCTAATGACCTAGTAATTTATGAATACAGTAACATACACTTATAAAAGTGGCATATGTCCGATTTTCACAGTTAACTCTGAATTTTGGAAACTTTTAAAATTTTTCGGGCGTCTTCCTGCAACTACAAAATTCAAGATAAAGATTTTTCCTTCAAATGAAATTTGTTCTTCCTAGTGAGTTCTTTCATTAAGATCATGTACATTGTTTTGAGAAGTTTAGTACTTTTCAAGCAATATTGCGTTCGATATTTGCAATATTAAAAAATTACAAAAACATTATTTTCTCAAAACCGGCTCCATTTTTTTTCTTTAAACTTTTAGTAGGGATAGTACTAAGTGCACTCTATAAGAAGACATAAATGCCATATTGCTCTATTTTATTTTTTCAAAACTTACAAAAATATAATCCTTTTTAGTTGTCTCTCATGTCGTTAATATTTACACTAGCTCAATTTTTTCATTAATTTGTTTATGAGTAATGTGCTTTAAATGTCAGATAAAGTTTCCTGAAAACTCAAATTCCGCATTTTCAGAAGCGCTCAAAACACTGTTTTCTTGAAAACTACTCCAAATTTTTTCTTCAAACTTTTCCAATAGATAGTACTAATTGAACTATTTATGATGACAAAGAATTAATTTTGTTGCATGCATTTGTTTTATCAATATTACACAAATATAATTGTTTTGAAATATCTCTCACGACTTCAATATGCACATATTCTGTAATTCGTAAACACTATTGCATTTGTAACTGGAAGTGCTTCAAATGATGTCATATGAAGTTTTTCGAAAACTCAATATGAATTATGTTCGTGCCTTCCTACAACTACAAAATTGAAGATAGAGAATTTTCCTTGAAATGAAATTTGTTCTCCATAGTAAGTTCTTCCATTAAGCTCACGTACATTTTTTTGAAAATTTTAGTTGTTTTCGTGCAATATGCGCAATTTAAAAAAAAAAAAAAAAGTTTTTCTCAAAAACAGCTCCAAGTTTATTTTTTACACTTTTGGTAGGTATGGTGCCAAATGTACTCTGGTGTACTAAACACCATATTTCTCTTGTCA